CGGGGCAGCTTTTCTTTAAAAACTACGAGTTCGGGGGGAGGGGGACGGGGGACGGACAGGGGGCTTTAGAAGCTGCTCCCGTCCCCAGCACAATTCCATTGACCAGTTTCTGGCCAGAGCACATGGTTGCAGCCTGTGTGGGGGCGGGGCAGGCAGGGAGGCTGATTCAGAAATGGCACTGGCTGGTACGTTTCCAGGCAGAGCCTACCTCTGGCACCCCAGTCACTCCCTTCCCTAATCCTCTGCCCCCCCCCCCCACTACTGGCCCCTATTTCACATACCCAAATCTTCTGCCCCTCTCCTGTACCTTTATCCCCTCGCAGATCTGGTATTCCAATCCCCTGCCTCAAATCACAGTCCTCTCCTGCCCTAGCTCTCAAGCCAAATCCCTGCATCCCCTCCTGTACCCCAATTCCCTGCTCTAGGTCACAATTCAAACCCCGTCACCCCAGTCCAGTGCTCCAGGTCACAACTGCCTCCTTACCTCCAGCTCCCTTCTGCATCCAACTTCCATCCCAGACCCCACACCTCCACTATTAATATCCTGAAAGAATGCAGCCCTCGACCACTTTCCAAATTCTTGGAGTGGCACGCCCATCAAAAATTATTGCCCACCTCGTCTTAGCTCAGAGTTTTTCAGCTTAATATTCCATCTGATGCTCCATTTCAGCTGTGTATGTTCTTCTCATTCTTCTATTAGCATGGAAGAGTGACACAGGCAATGGTCTTATTGGGTGAGGAACAGCTGCCACTGAAGCATCATCTCTTCATTTTGCTAAGGACAGAGGTCTGTGGAAAACAAGTTCTGGATTGATAGATGATGTGGTTGTCTCTCACTTTCCAGTTTTAAATTTGGTCGTCTTAGATATGTCAGCAAATATTCCGATGCCAGATTTCTTCATGGGGTTGATGAAGCTATGGGTCCCATCAGATCAGGTGTATCTCTCAGAAATGTCCCCATTTGTTTTTCATCAACATCTCCTATTTTTGGTAAACTCTTGTACATTTGATGATACATGCAGTCAAAGAAGAGAGCTGGATAAAAATCCACTGGAAGTGATTTGCATCTAAATAGGTTGTTGGACTGTTGACAACATGGCTGGTAAGAGCTGTCTCTTGGTCTTCATCCTTCTTCAGTACAGATGCAAGAAATTTGTATACTTTTTCTCCACTGCTTCTTGTTATGCCACTTCTCTCTTTCATAGCTTTTGGATAGTCATAATATTATGAAGTTGTGTATGATAGTCATTTATCATTAACCTGTCCATACGTTTCACTGAATTAAAAAACTAGTTTCTTGAATATTTCAAAGTCCAGTGCTACATATATAGGCAATTAAAACTTTCTACCAGGCAGAAAAGGTCTACACTGTATGTACAAAACCTTACAAGGGGTAAAGCAATACCTAAGGATTGCACATAAATTTATATCTACCCAATTAGGGATGTAAAATCCTGTTTAACTGGTTAACGAGTTAATAAACATGTTGTTTAATTGGTTAATCGATTAAAGGGGGAGGAGCTGACTCCAGCATGGCTAAAGTAGTGTCCCCACACCATCCTGCTCCAGTCCTCAACAGTTAACTTTAACTGGTAAGCTTCACTCCTCAAGGGTGAGGCTTAAACAGTCACATCCCATACCCAATATGCAGTACAAAGTGTGAGCACACAATCTACTACTACAGGTGCACAATCTTCAGCGTGAAACTGATGTGGTCAGCAAATTACAATAGAAAATACAGAAAACTATTATCAATTGTAGAGACTCTGAAAATTGACAATAAGCAGTAAATAACTGCAAAATGTTGCTATTTGCAATTTTGGCCACATCCTAAGCAGCTTCGTTGTTTCTGGAAAAAAAATTACCCATGCAAAACCAATACAAATCTTTTAACACTTTGTTGTTTTGGAGCTTTGATTAATAAACACCGTATCAAAGGTGCTGAAATTGACATAACCAGTAAATATTGTAGTCATAGTCATGTTAAGAGACCTTACAGAGCTGTGCAACAAAACACTTTCTCCTTTGTAGTACCACTATTTCACCTCTCCAACAGGTTTACAGTACCACATGATAGATTCACTTCATAACTCAGCTAAACACTTATACAATAAGCTTTCAAATGATACACTTAATAGGGGTGTAGGATAAATACATTAAACTTGAAAAATATGCCCCATTTTTAAGAACTGTAGCATGCCTAAAAACAGTATGCCACCATTCACTATTCAAGTCTGGATCAAAGGAGCTGTGGAATATTGCCTTTAAGAACATATATTCTCAGTGGTGTGAAATCATGATTGCAAATTCATATAAATATCCTGAGTGACACATCTGCCAGTTCCTGCCCCTATTATCTCTCCATACCTGCCTACCAGTCCCTACCTCCTCTCAAGGTTGCGTGGTTTTATTCAACACAACAATTAAAAACATGAAATGAAGTCTAAATTTGACTGTGTACCTAAATTGCACAATAAAAATACATCTGTGTCAGTTACACACACACGCGTGCACACACACATGCACGCTAAAACAAATATAGCAATCCAAAGATACAAGATCAGCAGTTGGAGGCCTGGACCACTGAGGTTCAACCTGTGGCCCACCAACTCCCTGTCCGCCCCACTCCTCCCACAATGGGATGCCGGAGCCCCACACTTTCTATTCCTAGCCCTCCCTCACAGCATTGTGGAAGTGCCATGAATTACCTGATTCACGCTCCATCTCTGCTCCTCCTCCTTCCCAGACCTAGAATGCTGCAAATCAGCTGTTTACAGCTCTTCAAGCTCTGGGAGGGTAAGAGCGGAATGGGGACACAGTGTAAACCAGGCTATCTGCAGCACTCCAGAAGTGCTGGTGGCTAAATGCAGAAGAGGCATGAGGTGGAGTGGGGCAGGCAGGGGGTCTACAGGGCTGCAGCTGCTGCAGCCCACTGAGATGAAGAAGGGCCACCATATACGTGGCCCACTCACTATTCCTGGTTTTCCACTGCTGTACTAGAAATACCATATATGCAATGCAACCAGCTCAATATTGCATCAGGTCCTAATTTAATGCACTATTATTTGACGCTTCCGACTTTAGCAATGCACTAACAATTTAACTGGCTAGGATGCTAGAGCAGCCCCTGCCTGCAAGGCACTGGGCCTGCCACGGACAGACTCCTGCAACTCCTGGCCACGGCAGGCTTGTTCCCTGCCACCCACATGCTGAAGCAGCCTCCTGCCCAAAGCAGGCAGGGAACTGCTTCACTCCCACTGGTTAACCCTTCACATACCCAATCAATATACATACAAACAAAAATTTTGAATATGTGCCATTCTATTTAATATCAGTACCAATTTTAGTATCAATCCCAACTTTATTTTTCTTTTTGATTTTATTCTACTGTAGCAAATTTGCACCAAAGTGGCTATATTATTTCTAAGTGGGGAAGCTGGCCATATCCCCTTTCCAACTCACTACTTATTGTTGTGGTGTACAGTATTAAATTGAATTATGGGTCCATTATATTAATCTGTAAAATACAAATCCTACATCTCTGCTGCTATATAATTAATAAATATCACCACAGGTAAACTTTACTATTTTGTGTAATTGGAAGGCTTAAATTATGGCAAATCTATCTCAAATTAAATATTCAATTATTAATTTTAAAGCTAAGACCTCTTTCTGTAAATAAATCTGTCCCCTCAGCCCTCTGAAATAGTTTTCAAAATTAGCCAATGTAATTCCATTTCTTAAAGGGTCAAATTTTCATAAAGCCCCCAACCACTTGAACTGCAGGCACATATTTTTAGTGGCACATTATCTTATGACTAAGATTGTGCGTGAACAATAAATAATCCTTCATGCAGATCATTTGTATTAATGAACAAATCTCAATGAACTAACCATATGTTTGAGTGAATATTTCCTCTCTCCCCACCAAATTTTTGCAGGCACAAGAGCTGTGTACATGTATAACAAAATTTGAGAACAAAAATCAAATGGTAAAGTTTCCATCTAGCAAATTCATTTTAGATACACAGCCATGCTTTTACACAGGCAAAAACTTAGATAACACATACACTTAAGCTTGTCTGTAAAAGACAGTAGCCGACATCGTGGAGGTCACTGTTGCCTTTAAAATAAGATTTATGTAGAGCAAGCATACAAGTAACTTTTCATACTGATATTTAAACAGAGAAGTATTTCCTTTAGGGCACATCTACATAGCAGGGCTAAAGTCAAAATAAGCTTCATAACTTGACCTACATCAATTGTGTAGCTTAAGTCAAAATAGCTTATTTCGGCTTTTGGCACTGTCTACACAGCAGGAAGTCCAAATTAAAGCAGTCTCCCTCTGATTTCCCTTACTCCTCGTAAAATTAAGGTTACAGGAGTCAGAGTAAGAAGTCCTCCAGCTTGACATTATTCTGACATTATGTCGAAATAACAGCTTGCTGTGTAGACGCAGTCTATGTTACTTCAGAAGAACTTCAGTTATTCCGAAATAATGCGGTTGTGTGGACATAGCCTTATACAGCCTGGCTGAGATCTTCAGAAGTGACTAGTTATTTCAGACACTGACATTTGAGTGTCCAACAGCCTGCATTTCTAAAAAGGCCTAATTTTCAGAATTTATTTGAGCAATTGAAAATTAAGCCTTTGTAAAGGTGTCTGAAGTTTGACACCCAAAATCATTAGCCAGTTATGAAAATTTTGGCCCCTGATTGTATCTTACAAATAACCAACTACTGTGATGGCACCTATGCAGAGGCAAAGGAAAATTATGCGCATTTTAAACACAAAAGCGTAATTTGCATGTTTGATGATCAAGCCAAATAGAAATGTTCTTACTATAAGCAAGCCTTGGATTTGATGTTTAAGTGCACATGGGGTGCTGGCTTCATATATGCTCATTCTAAAAGCCTATAAAAAGGCAGGATATTAGCATGGGAAGAGCAGCCATCACTAAATCCTAGTGAAAGCTTTAAGCTTTAAGCTTCCCAACTTACCATCTTCCTTTTCCTTTCTGCAATCTGCTCCTCTGATTCCATTTCTACTTCATTGCTAATAGGAGTTTTTTCTTCTATATCATCAATAAAATCTGGCTCCTGAAAGATGGAAATGACTGCTTTACAGAAGCTCCACTACTACTCTTTCAAACTAGGGAAATCTAAAAGCTACACAAAGCAAAGTTCCCTTGAATCACTACTTCATAAGCTACCAGCCAATTAACCAATGCAACATGAAAAAGCTACATATCTGCTTGGACCCTTTTATGACTCTAAAATATAGCCTGACTCCAGTATCTTCTCTGATACAAACAGAAACATCCACATCATTTTCTTTACAAACTCACTCGAATTTTTCAAGCAAATTATAAGAACTAAGCTTTTGAGCTAATGAACATGATCATAAGCTTGAGTGCCCTGTAATCAGACCATTTATTTAGACAGCTAAATAAGGAATTTGAATGCTAACTCTGGACACCCATTTTTGAAAATCTTAAATCTCACTTTTTCAATAAAATGGAATGTTTATTGTTATGTCAAACAAGATAATTATATTTATATAAGTATGCAGTCAACTAGAACCTATATATCTATTAACATAACCATTTCCACTGATGCTGTATTAATCTCCTTTATAATGTAACATTAAATGACTTACTATAGGGAACACAAAGAGATATCTAATTGATGGACATTAAAAAATGCTTGGTGTGGGAATGTTTTAAATATTTCAGGTCCCTTACAATAGAAGGGTAACATTCAAAAACTTTAGTTAAAGAAGAATCAATAGTAATTTATCTCCTACCAATGTTCTACCATATTTTCTTTCTTGTGATTGTATTAAAATGAAGTTGAAACTACCATACTTATTGTTTATAAAACTGCTAGTAAATGGTAATTAACAGTACAATTTTTGAGCACAGCACTAAAACAATCAAAGTACATATGTAAATGTGTTATTTTGGCTGACTGAACTGCTTTTTTAAACATCAGATGTTCTCATATTTTACTGAGCCTCTTCTAGGTTGAAAAACTTTTAGTTTCAGTGTGACAATTCTTATTAAATTATATAAGATTCTGTGTGCACAGGAACAGGTCCCAAATAACTGATATAGCTAGTGGCAACCTGGCTGGAAAAATAGAAGTAACTTACCTGTAAACTAGTTTGAATATATTGCCTTTGTAGCTTTATGCCTGCAGAAATCACATGCCAGCCTTCTGAGCCCAGAAGCATCCTAAAGCAAGTTAGCTGTTTGAGTAGGTCAGCCTACTATGCCCCAAGAAAGAGACCATAAACCTAATGTAAACTTAATGCAAACATTTTGTATATCAATTGCATATTCATCACCAGCTCCCTGATCTTTGTGTGTCATCCTTTCCTCCTTGATGTCTCCCTTTATTACACTCTAGGCCAGCGGTTCCCAACCTTTTCCAGATAAGGACCCATTTTGACAATTCAGGAAGATTGGTGACCCAAGGCAATTCAAAAACAGGGGAAGGAGGGAAGGCAGAGCCCACTGGGGAGACACTTGGCGACCCTTTTGAAATGTAACAAAGACCCATATTTGGGTCCCGACCCATAGGTTGGGAAACCCTGCTCTAGGCAGAACAAAAAATTGAAAATGGCTCCCACAAATAACCCCACACTTTATACAACTCTCTTCAATCCTTCAAATCACCCTCATAATCCCATCAAGTATTTACCTTCTGACAATCAATTCTCTCCTTCCTGAAAACAATATCAATACATCATTATGGTATTTATCTGATTTCTCTGTATTAATTTCTCTTTACTAATTATTGTGTGAAGCTCTTCACAAATTAAGATCTGTGAAATTCATTACTGTAGGATTTATCTGCTCTTCTATGCCAATAAATTAAGACAACAAAAATCTATAACCAAAACTTCTGGTACCACACTAGAATCCCCACCTTCTGCTCACATTCAATAAATACCCATTTATCAATTTACTACCTTTATGCTAGTATTCAATCTATACAAGATACAACAGGTATATGGAGGCTATGAGTGACTTATGAGACCTAAACATCTTTTTCGGGCTGAAATCTTGGTAACAGAAATTGTTATGAAGCAAGACTATTTATAATTGTGGGTTAAAAACATTAGAACTGTGGGCACAACATGTGTGTGACTAACACTGCTTCAGGATGGTTGTGGGATCTTGTGGCATGGCACACACTTTTTACACTACAGATCTGAAAAGCATTTTAGGAGGCAAAATTTCTGGCTTATGTTGAGGCACGTCAGCAAGAGAAATAAATAGCAAGTTAAAGAGAACAAAAACATCATTAAAATAAACTAGTCATTTCAAGAGAACTAGAAATAATATACATACTTTAAGTAGCTAATCCAGCACTAAAATATGTAATGAACAACTCTTTCCAATAACCTGTATGATTTTTTAAGAGCTATTCCTTCATGTTTGTACATCTGACCATTTAGTGTTTTTTTGCTTTAATACCTGATTATTGGAAATGGACAGCCTGAGGGGAGAAAGTCTCCTCTGCTTATTATCAGGAATCTTCATTTTTGTGGCTGTTCCTTCACAATCAAGTGTGATGTTCTGATTTTGTGTTTCCTTTTCTCTTGAAATGTCCTTTTCTTTCTTTCCCTTTTTCCTTCTAGTCTCATATCCAGTATTGATGTTTTCTGTAGGTTCGGAACCATGTTTAAGAACAGGACATTCAGGATTTTCTTTGAGGCAAGCGCAATCCACTTTGTATTTACTAAAACAATAAATACAAAAAAAAAGGTGTAAAATATTGACCTGAATACTACATCAATATGATTTAAAGCGAGACCACACTTCATTTCACTGATCCAATATTTTAGCATATTTGAAAATGGTTAAATTAAACTTTCACCAAACTGTGCAACATTACATTTTATTATTTTCAAACACTGGTTCATGAACAGTTTCCCAGCTTATAGTTTGGAACACCATTAAAACATATCTATTATCTACAAAAGTTAAATAAAATATAAAGAAAAACAAAAACAAAGAAAAATACTCTGGTGCCTAAAATGAACAGAAAAAAATCAGAGCAATTTAGTTTTGTACAAAACTGATTTACAAAAATCTTGTGTCTCTCTGGATAAGATACTGAAAAACACAATGCAAAGGTATTTAAAAGTTACCTGAGATACTTTTTACTTGATGTATACAGAGATCTAGCAAGTTATACAAGTTTAAGTAATATAAAACTTTCACTAGTAGCATTTATAAATAGAATCCAGATTGGTACAAAAAAGCTCTCTCAGAATACAATTCAAATATTTCGTCAATAGATTTATACCCATATACTCCAGCAGAAAATTTTGCCCTGAAAACTTATGTGGTACTGAGTGGTTTGTAATCAGCTTTCATGGATTTTCAGCTTGTATTTGCTTTCCAGTTTAAAAAAAATAAAAGATTTCCCCCTTCCTTCCCCCAATAGCTAGCCTTCTATACTTAATCTGGGATATGAAAAGCAAACTGTGTTCTTTCTCTTTTGTAAGTGATAAGAATTACAGAACAAATTCTCCTGTCAATTATATCCATGACACATTCCTGCACCAAATTGAGCCCTAAATTGTACTTGTGAAACTATATTAAAGTCTAATAGGGAAATAGATTTAACAGAACTTAAGCTTTTTCTGCAGAATATTTGTATACAGTAATGACATAAAATAAAAGGGAGTTACTTGCGTGCAGTAATGACTGTTCTTTGAGATGTATGCCTCTGTGGGTGCTCCATGACCCTCCCTTCCTCCCGTCTGCAAAGCACTTTTCCCCATTGGGCTGCATGTGCACAGGAGGCGTCTTGCGATTCTTCCACCCGAGTGTGCTACTCACGAGGCTCAACCCCTCCCTTTCAGTTCCTCATGTATGCCCGAGTAAATAAGACTCCGAGGAGAGGAAGGGAGGATCATGGAGCACCCATGGGGATACACATCTCAAAGAACAGTCATTACTGCACGAAGTGAGTGACTCCCTTTTCTTCTTTGAGTGATGTCGCCACAGGTGCTCCACTGTTGGTGACTACAGAGCAGTATTCGACCTGCATGGAGAGAGTTGGAGTCATTGTTTGGTGCTGCTGGACAAAACTGCAGTAGCCACCACTGAATCAGATATGAGTTGTGGCAATATGGCATAATGTTTAGTGGAAGTGTGGTCAGATGAACGGTGCAGATCAATAAATGTATCTTAAGGGAATGTTGTTCTTAAAGGCCATGGAAGCCACTGTAGCCAGAGTAGAATGTGCTCATGGTGGATGCTGTAAATGCCTGCTGGCCATTAGGTATGACACCTAACTATGCATCAAATCATGAAACATTAGAACTGGAAGGGACCTCGAGAGGTCATCAAGTCCAGTCCCCTGCCCTCACAGCAGGACCAAGCATTGTCTAGACCATCCCGGATAGATGTCTAAACCAATCTGGTCTTAAATATCTCCAGAGGTGCGGCCTCTGTAGCCTGAATAGAATGTGCTCGTGGTCGATGCTGTAATGGTCTGTTGGCCTGGGTATAACATCTAACTATGCTTGTCTAGATCTACTTTGAGATATGTTGGGATGAAATAGATGTACCTCTTGAGTATTCAGTGATGGAAATAAAAAGTCATTGAGATTTACAAAATGCTCATGTTCTCTCCAAGAAGAAGGCCAATGCTCATCGGCTATGGAGAGTGTAGGCTCGTGTCTCTTGGGGAGGTGCAGAGCTTTGGGAAAAAGGTAGGTAACACAATGGGCTCATTGATGTGGAATGCTGTACAGACTTTTGGTAGGAATGCTGGGTGAGGTTTCAGCGTAACTCTGTCTTTTGTAAAAACAATGTAGGGGGCTCCGCCATAAGGGCCCCAAGTTCACCGACTCTCCTCACTGAGGTAACAGCTACATAACAAACAGACCTTCATAAAGAGGAAGGGAAGTGCAACAGTGGCCAATGGTTCAAAGGGGAGCCTGGTCAAACAATCCAAAACAAGGTTCAAGTCCCATAAGGGGGGGGTGAGGTCCTATGAGGTGGGTATATATTGTGAAGGCCCCTAAGGAATCTTTTTGTTACCGATTGGCAAACAAGTAGAAACCGTCCACATGGATGTGGAAAGCTGTTATTGCAGAAAAGTGGACTCTCATCAACTAATATCCTGAGGCCTTGCTGGCTCTCACCATGAGGCAGGAGTAATGGTCACACTTCTACGGCATGTGAGCTTCTTCCAAGCATCGTATGCACGGGGAATGGCCATCCGATACTGGCACAGACTCCCAGTACTCCTCAAATTTTTGAAGCTCAAGGAGCCAGACATATTGAATGGTCCGTCCTTCCCTTTCCCTTTCCTTTCTCTCAAGAAAGGGAAAGGGAAAAAGAAAGGAAAAGGAAAAGGAAAAGAAGTGGGGGGGAAGAGACTGGGGAGAAACCCAGTTCGCGCTGCCCCTGAGCTGCAAAACTACATTTAAATCTCCTGAAGGGAAGAAAAAAATTTTTTTTTTGTAAATTAAATGAGGGAAACTATTTACATAAACTATTAACTCTAACTGTATACGTGGCAACTCTGAAATGCTAAATGCTAAGTGAGATAACAGGCTGAGACAGAGATGTTAAAGCTCCGTCTGCTGACGATGGCAGCTAAAGAGGAAGAGAAGGTTACTCACTTCGTGCAGTAATGGACGTTCTTCGAGATGGTTGTCCCTGTGGGTTCTCCACTTTAGGTCTTGCAGCGCCATTGCGCGTCTAGATGAAGATTTATAGTAGCAGTGCCCTCCCAGTGTGCAGTGCATATAAGGCAGATGGCATGCGCTGTGCTACCACCACACATGCACGGCAACTGTCCCTTCAGTTCCTTCTCTGCCCTGGAAGGACAACAACAACAACAACTCCGAAGCAGAGGGGAGGAAGGGCAGTTGGTGGAGCACCCAAACTGACAACTGTCTCAAAGAACATCCATTACTGCACGAAGTGAGTAACCTTGTCTTCTTCTTGGAGAAGTGTCCCAGTGGGCGCTCCATCTTAGGTGACTATACAGCAGTACCCATGCTACAAGGTGCGTGCTTCAGTTAGTAATCGTGTTGGGCTTTAGCGAGGACTGAGAGTCCAACTTCTGTGAGCCATTTCAGGTAATTGTCCAGGGCATGATGTCTGTCGAAAGTGTGTGCAGAAGACCATGTTGCAGCTCTGCAAATGTCCACCAGATTAATGCTGCTAAAATAGGCTGCAGAGATTGCCATGGCCCTTGTAGAATGCGCTGGTTAAATCTGGCGCAAGCCAGGCAAATACTGTCTACGATCCACTTGGAAAGTCTGTGTTGAGATTTGCACTACCAAGCATCTTTTAGCAGCAGAGATGAAAAGTCTGTTAGCTTTACAAATTGTCTTTGTCTTCTCCAAATAGAAGACAATTGCGCAGCATACATCGAGCGTGTGCCATATAGCTTCTTCGGCGGTAGCATGGGGCTTTTGGGAAGCACAAGAGGTTCGTTGCAATACCAGGAGGTAAGAATCTTTGGTAAGAACTTTGGATGTGGTCGCAGGATCACCCTGTCCTTATGAAAAATGGTAAAGGGTGGGTCGGCCATCAGTGCCCCAATTTTACTTACTCTTCTGGCAGATGTGAGTGTAACTAACGTAGCAACTTTTATTGAAAGGTGCAGCATTGTGCCCGTAGGCTTGAATGGTGTATGGGTTAGGGTCTGTAGTACAAGGTTTAGGTCTCAAGCTGGGACTGGTGTTCTAACAGGCGGGAAAGTGTTCTGGATGCCTTTTAGGTATCGTTTATTCGTGGGGTGGGCGAAGACTGATTTGTCTTCAATGGGTTGGTGGAATGCGGTTATGGCTGCGAGGTATACCTTTAACGAGCTGAGCAAGAGGCCTGTTATGTTTCACATGTAAGAGTTACTTTTGTATATTGGCCAGTGGAATCTTGGATGGATTTACTGATCTTTGGTCCACCCAGGAAGAGAATCTTCGCCACCTGTACAGTAAGATTTTCTCATTGTGACTTTCTCATTACAGGATCTGTCTGACCTGATCCGTAAATGTTGCTTCTACTGAGGAGAGCCAGTGAGGAGCCAAGCTTGGAGGCGAAGGATGTGGGAAGATGGGTGCTGGACGTGACCCCACTGCTGAGTCAGGAGATGAGGGACTATCGGAAGCTGCCATGGAGGCCTTAGGGACATGTAAATTAGGTAAATATACCATGTCTGACAGGGCCAAACTGGAGCAATGAGCATTAATGATGCTGACCTGGCTCTTATTTTGTTGACCACTAGGTAAAGAAGTGGGGTTGGTGGGAAGGCATAGAAGAGGGGTGCATCCCGAGGTATTGTAAATGAGGTCCCCCAGAGAGTGTAATCCAGTGCCTGCATGAGAAAAGTACTGTAGACATTTTTTTTCGCAAAGGTTACAAACAAGTCTAGGTATGGGAATCCTCAGAGTGAGAATATCATGTGGAGAATGCTGTCGTCCAATACCCATTCATGGTAG